ACGCGTAGAAATTAATTTCTTTCGAGTTCGGACCTTGTAAGTTTGTAGGAAAATCAAAACTGAGTCGATATGTGCTATTTTTAGGTTTCTCTGGTCAACAGTCTTCGCGCAAATCGAGTTCGAAGTTGAAACTTTGATTGCTTTTATTTCAATAGTGGAAGCAGATTTTTTCATGAAACTCACTTTGAAGATGTAACTTTTAATAGTCAACTAGGAAGTGCACTTATTTTTAAAAATAAAATTTTCTGTTCCAAATAAAACGGATAAGTTCGATTTTGAGTTAAATCGACCGATCTCTGTGAATACGTCAGTTAGAGAACTGAAATTTATTATCCATCATTGAAAACTGTATGCCCACATTATGCAATGAATATTTTTTTCCATTCATCAACGGTTCTCTTGATTTTGGCTTTTGGCCTAAAAACTTTGACCCTCGATAAATCGAGAATGATAGCCTCTACAATTATCATTTTTTGGCCAAACATTAGATTTTATTATGGACTATAACAATTCAAAAATGGGTAACGAAAAAAATTGTGCTAATTTGTTTAACTATCAAACTTATTCCGAGACATCATAGGTAACCGTTTACCTTTGTTAATATGGTATCAAATCTGACAACCCAATTAATAAAATGTTATTACTTTTTTTGTATGTTCTTTGATAATTTCATATTTCAATATTTCATAGCCAATAATATAATGTGCTGTTTGACCAAAAAATGATGATTGTAGAGACTACCATTCTCGATTTATCGAGGCTCAAAGTTTTTAGGTCAATAGCCAAAATCGAGAGAACTGTCGATAAATTCAAGAAAATATTCGCTACATAATGTGTTCATACAGCTTGTAATGACGAATAATAAGTTTCAGTTCTCTAACTGTCATATTTACAGAGATCAGTCGATTTAACTCAAAATCGAACTCATCCGTTTTATTTGGAATCGAAAATTCTATTTACAAAAATAAGTCCATTTTCAGGTTAATTATCATGAACTACACCATCAAAGTGAGTTTCATGGGAAAATCTGCTTCCATTATTGTAATAAAAGCGATCAAAGTTTCAACTTCGAACTCTATTTTCTCGAAGACTCTTGACCCAAAAAACTATTTAATAGCACATATCGACTCAGTTTTGATTGCCCTACAAACTAACAAGGCCAGAAATTGAAAGAAATTCATTTCTACGCGTTTTTGGCCATTTTTCTTGCAGTGTTTGTGTAAATTTGTGCAAAAATGCTACAATTGGGTTTATTGTGTCTTTTTAGCAACAAACTTCTTTACTTTACATCTTAATGTTTGATAAACCAGCAGAAAAAGACGTTTGATTTCCAAATTGGCCATGTAATCGAAGACAAAATAAATATGGTGCATAGCTCGAAATGTCTTGCAGTCTAATGAATCGAAATGATTGCTAATTTATGTCAAAATGAAACCAAATCATCTTAGAAGGTGGTCATTGAAAAGTTTATGTGTAACCAGAATTTATTCATAACTCATGGAGGAAGTAATTCGCTGCTTGAAGGACTAACTGCTTGATAATATGGTGACTTGTGACAATTCTAAAGGATCCTAAAAATGATAGTGCTGATAGAGAATTCAGTTATAAAAGTCTATTTGAATAGTTGAAAGTTGAGTTTATCGATCTACAGAAGCAATTACTTTCTCAAGGCTTGGATCACGATTAATCTTTACCGAGAAGCTGTTCAACTTGTATTGCTCTTGAAATTTGATCAATTTGATTATTCAATTCATTTCGTCTGTGATGCATTTGCAATGGAAGAAAAAAGTGTTGAAATGAATAAAGGTAAATGGGGAAAAACGAAAGAAAAAAAGACAATAATGTTTGTCTATTCCTTGTGTGATCATTGTTTAGTTGAAGGTGTGCTCATGTGTTTCATGCCATTATTGGTTGTATCGTTGGGCTTTTCTGCTCGATGAAGGTACGTTTGATTGAGGATGACAAAAGGCAAAAATTGGGAGTTTCAATGGGCGGTTGTAGGTTGGATCAACATTGAACCAAGGCGTAACTCTCAATGGGATCATTCATGTTTAACTCAATGGATAAAGTTGGTTGAGTTTGCGCAAGTAAACGGCAAGAGGCAAGATGATGACAGAAAGAGAGAAAGAAAGAAAGAGAGAAAGATAAGTGGCAATGATGAGGATGAAAAGAATGGTGAAGATGATAATGATGAGGGTTATCCAGTGGCTATCAAGATGATCATCGCCAGTTAACAACTGAAAAGTACACAGCAAAAGATCAACAAAAACAGTACTTGTTAGTATCAAATATTTTCTCATCTTGGACTTTATCATCTCTTCTCTCTTCTCTCTCTTCCTTATCTGATCCACCCCTTTTCTTACCTGTGACCTGAGGAGTTAAGAGGAGTGTCTCTCTGTATTTCTCTCTCTCACCATTTCCATCTCGGCTTATATTACATATCGAAACTTACTCTTACTCTTATCATTATTATTATTGTTGTTTCACTTTTTTTGCTCATCTTCATTGGGACACTTTTTTTCGTTGTTTAATCACTTTTCTCAGCTTTGAACGCAACTTGATTAACTTGTTCAACGGCACATTTGGAACACCTATTATTGGAGAAAATCGCAAAATCTATTTGTGTTCATTGTTCACCATTTATGACAACCTTCAGTGTTTTTCCGGAATTCAACTTTACTTGGGATTCAATTTGGTTCAGTGTTAAGTGTCCACTGGTTACGATTCACCATTGATTTTTGTTTCTCTCCTTTCCTTGTGTCTTGTGTGTTTGGTGTTTTATGCCAGAGACAACAACGCCCTTGACGGGCGATTCATCTTATTCAACTATGGCAACCACAATTATAGGAGTAAGTAACATTTTTTATTCAATTTTGTCAAACAATCTCAAAGAGTTGAAACCAAAGAAAGTTCAATGTTAACAATGCAAAAGTTTAACATTGCAAACTCACCTTCATTAGCACTTCAACTTTTACTTTCATCTTCTTCATCTTCTTTACCTTCAGACCCCAGGCTTTGATGAAATGCTTGGAAATTGTCTGAAGAAAACTTTGTGCATCTTTTTTTGGATCAAACCAGTTTGAGATTATTCTTAAAATGAATTCTTCTGTGTTTGATTTTGGTTTTATTTTGCGAAAGAATTACAAATTCTGGTAAAAAATAGACCATAAAACGAGCTTTTACTGAACACTTTGGCTTGTGATTTGGTAACATCAATGTTATCCAGTCTAAGCAAGTTGAAGGTGAACCAGTTGAGTGGCGTTATGTTGTGATCACTGATAAGTTGGCCAAAACTGGAAAGGCAACAATGGATGTGAAAAGTTGAAACAAAACTAATGATAAACGATGGTTGAGATAAAGTTGAACATAATTTAAAAGAAAATCCGTTTTCTGCTCTGTAACTTCATGAGTAAACCTTGTTCATTGTTTACCATTTTTCTTCATTTGTTACCTTCTCATGACTTAACCAGAGCTTAATTACTTTTACACTCTGATTTAGTTAAATAATTTTAGCTTTACTTTCAATTTACTTTTCAACCAGTGTTGGCCTGTTCAAAAGTAAATCATTACAGCACGTTAAGATTGTTGTTCAACCAAACTGCAAGTGTTTCTCAACAAGCGTTTATTTACACCGTTTATCATCATTTGCAGCTCATGAAAAAAGTGCAAAAATTGTTATTTGATAGCAACAACAGATATATGCTAATAAAGCTCAATCATGGTAACAATGAGCAACAAGAAGAAAAGATAATAATCTTTATTCATCAACATCTTATTCCACTCTTTAAACATCTTTTTCCTCTTCTTCCCCTTTTATCAAGTTTCATATTACCTGAGAGATGTGTTATATGATCTTGTAACAACTTTACACTTTAGTCGCCATCAACCATTGTATTCATTTGAAATATGTAAAGGTTAAAGGTAATCTGATTCCAGGCAAGGCAAAAAGTGTGTTTTCATCTTTCAATGAAAGAACTGAAAAGGAAGACAATTTTTTGGCTCTTCGTAAACAAATTTTTACTCATTTCCATCTTTTTCCTCTCACCTGATTTACCTTTATTGGTCATCAAATTTTCACTCCCAACAAAATGATAATAACAATGTTTACATTTTAACCTGTTATTATTGTTGCTTGAAAAAATACCTTTTCTCACCATTTAATGATAGTTTTGATTGGGTGAAATTTTGATAATAACAATTATTTGACGGAATGAAAAAGTTCTGTAATTGACCAATAATTTGGGTATCGAGATATCGTGAAATACCTTGACTTGGTTTTCACTTGGGTTAAGGTGAAAGTAACAAAATTTATCTCTTTTTTTGTGTTGCTTTCTTTACCTTTTCACCAATCGTTGGTACAATCGCTGATATGATCGGTATCAGAGTTGACCTGTCAAAAGGTTAACCTGGAAAAAAAGGAAAGTTAAAATTGAATAAAAGCTTTGACAGAGATTGAGTTTGATAGGTTTTATATGAAAAGTAACTCGATAGGTTTGATCAATATCAGTGTGTCGTTTTCAGTTAATTTGATACTTGGTTATCTTGTAAATCAAACATTTGATACGCATCTAAATATAATAGGAAACTGGGTAAACATAGATGTTTATTTGGATAGATAGTCATTGATACTGGGACTGGGACAAGTTGACTATCATCATCTATGGCTTAACCATGTTTACCAATGTAAATGTTGACTCGTTTTTCACCTCTCATCAAATGTAATTCAATTCCTAAATTGTTTCCACTGGAAATGTGAATGAAAATGGTTAACTCAATGATATGATTGACTTTTCACTTCTTAATAACCTTCTCAAATAACCAAACACTGTGATACAGACTAAAAAAAGATGCAATTGATGGATGTGAATTGATTTACTCGGCTAATTATTATCCAACCTTGATGTTACCTAAATTCATTTATCATTTTTATGGGTAACTTTATAAATCTTGAATAATGCGCCCTTCTTTTCATTGGACAATTAGATTTAGCTTTTCCCTCCTTAACTGGGTCCATGCTGCTTTTGCTAGAAAATTAAGGTTCGCCATATTTTTGTATCTTTTAAATGTTAATTTTAATTAATTGTGATAATTTTAATTGTTGTTTTATATAAATATGGATTTATTTATAACTGGTGATCTAGTGGCTGTTCAATTTATATCTGTACATCTCGTTTTAAGTTGTGTTATTGTGCCTTTTGGTTGATCTTTTTTTGAGACTCGACTCTAGTGAAAATTGGGTTCAAATTTAGTTGAAACGTTGGTCATTCTGATTGTTATTAATTGATCACAAGCGATGAGCAAGATGTTTTAATTGTTAATTAGTTGGTATGGCTGGTTAATCTGTTCAAATTTGGTCTAGTTCGTGATATATAACAATTATTGGTGATAACTGGTCGTCCCAAAGTTAAGTCAATGTGTGTTTCTTTTGTTTCTTATCAAACATTTCAATTGTTAATTGTACAGTCAGTTTCCTCATCATTTCTAACTTTTCTTTTTTCTCTTTTTCTTCTTTGGTTTTCTGCTGTTACTCATCATTTTTTTCTGGCCCACACCTTTGGGCTTTATTCCTGGTAATTACAGGTAAATTGTATCACGAAAAGGGCCTTAAGCTGAGGTAGATGTTCAACTAAAAACGCATAATTTCATCTTTTACCAAATGCTCATCCACACCATCTTACTCTATCCTTTTCCTCCTCATCTTTCTGTACCCCTCTCATCATCATTTTAACATCTTTTTTGCTACAATTAATATTTCCTTTCTCACCTTTTGGTCCTCTCAGATTATATCTCTTCTTACCTTGTCTTCAATCCTTTTCACTTCCTTTCTCTCTTGCAAACATTTATTTTGCTAATTTTTTCCAATTTTTTCTCTCTCTTCTCATTCAACTGTTCATTGATATTGCTGTTCAATGAAAAATCCCTCGAGGTTTTTATCCTCTGGCTTTTTAATTGAATAATATCATTTATTTAACATTTTCAGAATTGAATTTTTTGATTGTGATTCTGTCTTCTCTTCATGTTTCATCTCAATTATCGTTGATTAAAATTCTTGTTGACAGTTTAAAGTAAAGTAAAGATATTGAAGTAAACAAGTTTGTTAACTTGAAATTTACTTTGATTACCTTAAACCCTAATTGGTAACCGCATAATATAAAGGATGGGAAAGCATAATCAAATAAAATAATCACCCAACAATTGGCAAATCATCAAGGAGAAGCAAAAGAAGGAATGCTGGAAGATTCATGATATGATTTGGAGAAAAGAAAAGAGAAGCTTTTGAAAAGGAAACATCAACAACATCAACAAGTAACCAAATTGAATAAACCCAAATTAACATGAAAGAGGGAATATTAATGGAAGAAACAACAATCAATACTAATCTGATCTAATTCAATGATTGACCACCCAAAGGTGTTTCAAAAAAGCCGGATTAAAAGCCAAACTTATTGGAAACAAACATACATTTTTCAAAATTATCATCTTATTAACCCAAAAGTCTGATGAACACAAAGAAGGAAAAGTAATAACATAAGCTCAGCTTCTGTTAATAACAAAATTATCCTTTAATGATCACCATTAAATGGTTAATATAAAGGCGCGCCCAATCATCCCTCATCATAATCATCCTTTTTTTTAAAAAAAGTAAAGAAATGGGAAACGAAAATTCTTTCATCTTCATCATGACTTGTACTTCACCAACTTTACACTGTTCATCATGTTGTCTTCATTGGTTTGACTAATAGCTCGGATGTGTATTACTAATGATCTAGTTGGTAAAAGCTGATTATTTCAACTGCCATGTTATACAATGTTTACTGATGGACAGCCAAGTCAATAATGTTACACTTGGAGAAAAGTATTTCAACAATTTGCCTTCAACTCATTTTTTTGAAACAATGTCTCTGGATCAATATTTAAACATCAACTTGGAGCCAACAGTATTGTACAGCTTCAACAACAACAAGCCACTTCGTAAATGATGATAAAACTGTTTCTCTTCCTTTCTCTTCATAATCATCTTCTTTTTAGTTGTTCCTTTTTTGTTCGCTTCTTGCTTTTGGCCAACTTCATTGAAATTGATTTGTCCCATTGATCTTCATCTATTTTCATCTTACATGATTAATAGTAACACACACTCACAGTGAGACAGAGGAAAATTGTTACCAATGGAAAATAATCAATCAACTTTAACCTTCCTTCCTCACATTCATTGCTCACCTTTTTTTTAACAGTCTTCAATTGTAAATATAAATACAAATGTATTATTGTAATGTTAAAATGGCTTATTGCCGCACCAAAACATCCCAATGGTTAATGTTTACATTTAAACAAAACCATTGAAAGTCAAAAGCAGAAGAAAAATGAAAACATTGACCTTCCCAAATATCAACCTTGATTCAATATAACTTGAATATTCCTTCTGTTCTGACCTTAGGTCATTAATTTTGCCATCCCTATCAGCACTCACTCACACACACTTTACAATGTGTTAACAATGTTTAATCACTAAAGGAGAGAAGAAGAAGAAGAAAACAGAAAATTCAAATGTTTACTTCTCAACCTAACCATTTTTACCCTTCTACACTCTCTAATTAACCCTCGACAAATGATACATTTGTACATTAAGTTTGCTCATTTGATTGTAAATGACGATCAAATCACATATGAAGTGTAAAATGAGCAAACATTGAAAGTTATACTCTGACAATAATGGCTTATTTTGTCCATTGAAATGTAACACAAAATAGGAAATGATTATTGATTCATATTAATCCATATTAACATTAAATTATCATGCCAATGAGAGAGTCTAATAACAATGAAAAGTGTCTTTAATACGCTTTGTACTGTTGGTCAGGTTATAATGTTATTCATTTCTTGGGACGAAGGAAGAAGAAAATTGTAACACGAAAAAAAAGATGAAGAAGAAGGAAGAATAAGATTAACACCTCACCTTTGATGATGAGGTTGGTGATGATGATGGCGAGTGTGTTGAATAGGGTTGAAGCCGATTAAAATCTATTGGGTTGGAGATTGAATTAATGCTCTGATTGATGATTGAATTGTGTGCGTATTTGTCTATGTATGAAAAAACCGATAATACGATAATATGGAAATGAAGTTTTCCTTTTCTCTCCATTATTAGTTGGGACAAAATCAATTGTGGCCAATATGAACATGATGTAGTTACAAGGTAACAACAAGACCATAATAACAAATAATGGGAAAGGTGATCTTGTACATAATGTACTCATGAAAAGATGAAGATAAAGAGAGAGAGAGAGAGAAAAGGTAAAAGATGAAAGAGAGGGAAAAAAGTGGCATAAAAATGAAAGCTGTAAAGATATTAGTATTTAAGTGAAAATGGATTTAAAAGGTTAGAGATGAGAAGCGAAAAGAGCAAAAAGTAAATGCTTTTGGGGTTTTAGAGTTGGTAACAAACAACAGTTAAAAAAAGGACAACAAGAACAACATTGTGAATACAAGGAAAAATGTATAATATGATAATATTGAACATTTACTAAGTAAGATGCAATAAAATATCGGATAAAATGGTTTTCCTATGAATACATTGCAAATGATTATTATTGATGGAAAGAGTGAAAAACCTGAAGCAACAAAATACATGGTAAAAAGTGAATACAAATATTACAATGGATTTGTTTCTCTTTTCTGTTTTTCTTCTTGCTTTTTCTTCTTCTTTTTATTCAATTTCCTATTCAATGTTGCTTTTGCTAACAACAATTAAGCTTTTCTGTTGATATTTATTTATTCACATCGGCAAACCAAAGAAAAGGAAAGAAACTGAAATGTACATTTCACTCCTTCACATAATCACGATGGTTTATTGAGCTGGCTCGAGACTGACTTTCAGTGGGTAAACAGTAGAGTTGCCCCGTTGAGAGCAACCATCATCATCAGCCTCATCAACCTTTCAAAATCACCAGAAAACTCGTCTTATAAAACTATTCAGTTTCATTCCGTTTTTGCTCATCCATTACTTTCAGCCATCTTTACCAGAAATTTTACATTTTTTTATAACAAATCTATTCAATTGATCATGTTTCTTATTGTTGCTTTTTTTGTCACCGACTGTTACCTGGTCAACTCTAGTTTCCATTATTTACTCTCTGATTCTCTGACAACTTCCCTTTCCACCTTTACCCTCCCCACTCTCCACCCTTACCCACCTCAAACTCCCATCTACTTACCATCACTTGAATTGTTCATTGAGTCAAAATTATTAGACTGACATGAACAGCAAAATATACACTCACACAAGACAAACGAAAATAACTTTTTCTCTTCTCTCGTCCCGCGAAAATGCCTTAATGTTTATGCCTCAAAATAGGGCGGCATGGGGCTGTACCGAGAGGTCAACCTTCAAATCTTTACTTTTCCCCCTTCTTGTTCACCATCATCATCATCATTCACTTTTGGCTCTTTCATCTTTATGCCAACAGAAGAAAATAATAAATTTAAAATGAATAACTTTTTTTGTCCCTTTCATCCCTTTTTTGTTGTTGTCTTGTACTACTTACTATTTGCTCTTCTTGTACCTCAATGGTTGAAGTCTCAATGAATATGTCGCTCTTTTTTTCACCTCGCTTTGTTATTCACATTTTATACCAATTTACGCTTTGCTCTTTTAGGCCTCTGAACTTAATGGTGAACCTTTTCGATGTTTTACTCAAACAGTTGACCGAGGCCTTTTACTTGACCAAATATCAAGCCGTTAACCACTCTTAACTTTTACCTATTATATTTATTTCCTCTATTCACTATTATTACCATTGCTGGTTATTATTGTGCTCAACTGGCTCTTTTTGATGTTCATTTGCAATTTACATTTTCATTTACATTTTCATTTCTTTTAGGCTTCCCTTTACTTTTACTGATCGTCCCTTTTGCTACCAAAAAAAAGGCCAACAAAAACCACTGAACAATCAAATGCAATTAAATGTCCCAAATTGATTCAACTCATTTTACACGCTTTTTACAGGCAAACATAATTTTCCGTTTCACTTCATTTTTTTCCTTGCAAAACCTCTTGAAATTGTTAGGCAAACAATCAGTTTATCACTTTCAATTTTTATTTGATAGTCAAACTTATCCAAATATTTACCATTCTAATTTGATGTGCTCTAAATTGACAATCAATAACTTCATTTCAATTGAACATTTTTTTCTTTTGCATCTCAACATTTCTAGTTACCAGTCAAGTTTAATTAGTAAAATTCAATATTTTGATGAACAAGATCTACATTGTTAATTATGGTCTTCATTTTTAACAAGCTTGTTAACATCAATCAAGTTAATAAAAATTGACGAGCAAAAAGATGTTTTCTTTTTATGTTGCTTTCAAGCTTAAAAGTGACAATTTAACATTTCATGATGAGGATGAAGTTAATGAAGGAAAGAGCATTTTCTAGAGATGTGAACTTTCGTTTCTTTCAACAATTTTTTTCCTGTCCATTTTATGTTCAACAATTTTCCTAATGGTGAAAGTTGGTAGATATATGATGATGAAAAGGATTGAATGTAAAGGTGAATGATTGGAAGAAGAAGATGAATCCAAATAGAGTTCACGAAAGTTGTAAAAAGGTGAGGCCATTTTGCGTTTCTCTGAAAAAAAGGGAAAAAAGAGAGAAAATGAGGTTTACTTTTTCAATGCAAAAACGTTTACACAGGTAAATACTTATATCCCACTGAGTCTGTAGACATAAATTTGGTTGAAAGTTCGAAGAAAAGTAGAAAAAATGTTCATCACTTTGATCATCATCTTTTTTTCTAATGATGATTATGATAAAGAAGAAAGAGAAATGTTTAGCTTTACATTTTGCTTTAACAACAAAGGTAAAGGCTCTGTCGGAAACGGTGAAGAACGTTTGAAGAAAGTAAAAGATGATAATGATGATGAGCATGATGAAGGATAAAGTAAAGGGAAACGATCGAGTCAACATTTTATGTTACAAGTTGTAAAAAGTTGAAGGCGCTTATTCAAATGTATCACATCCCGCAGTGTTAAATACAGCAATATACGAGGACGCTATTTAATGCAAACGTTTTTCTTTTCTTTTCAATGGTGCGATTAAAAAGAAGTTTTTTCTTCTTCTTCTTCTTCTCTTTTTCGACCATCATCTTGTTCATCATCATCATCATCTTTTGTCCCTCTTTGTTCCATCAGGCCACCTTTTCCTTATTGCAATCCAACATTATCGAGCATTAACATCAGCCAGTATTATTATTACTTTTTATCAGCCTTTTCCCAGTTTGCCTTTTTGTTGTGATCTGAAATTTGCAAGGGAGAAACGTTAAGTTAAAAAAACGCGTTAAAAAATTTTCATTATTTCTTTTAGTCTTTCTTTATGTATTATGGTTAGCGCGTTGCATTATGTGTTATTGTTGATGTTAGCATTTGCCATTCATGTGGTTAGTTACCTTACCACACGCTTCAATCCATCATGATAAAGGTTATACTATTATTATTATTACCATTATTATTGTTAATATTAATATTATTATAAGGTTGTTTGCTGCTATCAACAGCAGACAAAAGGTAAGCTCATTTGAATATCAAACATTAAACACACTGACACACACAAACAAACAATTTTAATGGTTAAATCAAAGTTTAATTGTCTAAATCATTTGATTGTATTTATAATATCGTTCATTAATGCAAATAAGAAACGATTTTTCTCTTCAAAATCTGTGTTCTATTTTTAATAAATTTTCATTCTTTGCCAGTAAAAAATGAAAAGCTGTTCTAAGCAACATTTCCTGGCACAACTGACTAAATACTGGATGAAAAAAACTAAGCAAATGATGGAACCATCAATTGCTTTGCCAGTTTTTAATAGCTCATCGAATTTGCAACAATATTAGGATCAATTTTAAAAATTATAAACACTTTCAGCTAGTCTTTTCTTCACTTTTTTTAATGCTCGTTGTAGTCCATTTGAACCTTTTCAATTTTGAACACTCAAATGGATCCCTCTTTTACTGAAACATTGTTTGTTTGTTGTGTGTCTTTCAATCGAAGGCTGATGATCAACGAAGGTTGAACCGGTACCTGAATGAAGATAATAGCATAAGAAAAGAAGGACTTCAGTGGGATGTTCCAGTAAAGGTTTTTTGAAGGAAATTTCCTGTTCACATTTCTTCTTCTGTTAACCTTCTTTTCTTCATTTCTTCATCTGCGAGTTTCCTGTCTTTGCTTTTTTGATAATGTCGATGTCTTACTTCGTACGATCCGCCTCTTCGTCTTTTCCTATGAAATAATATTGACTGGATGTGGATGGTGAAGGAAAGCTGAGTGAAAAAAGAAAAAGAAAAAATCATTTTCACATTTCTATTTTTTTGTGATTGTTCAACTTACTTGAGGTTAAATTATTATTATTATATTCATCATCAAAATTTATTGGCCTTCAAAATAATAATATTTACCATAAATGATTTGGATCTGTGAAAATAGAGAGCAAAGAAGAAAAAGGTTGACAATAATCACAAAATATCTCCGGATGTTGATTGTCATAACGGACATGCTTTTCTCATCATCATCATCTTCACCATCGCCATCATAATCATCGTAGTCGTCGTAGACCTCATTATCATTATATTCATCATCTATTGTAGTAAAGTTATGCTTTTTCACATCAACATCATTTTGCAAGTTTACCTTTTTCTTTCTTTCGACATGGTACTTTTGTTGAAATTGCACAAAAGCAAAAAGTTAACAATGATTGTCCCTCTAAATCAACAACAAATTACACAGTAATTTGGCTCTAAATTGAATATTATACTTATCAAACAACAATGCACAAATCATAATTAACAATTGAGGTTAACAAGCTGACAACAGTTGAGTAAACGAAGAAACAAAAGTCACAACAAAGAAATTGATACAGTTTAAAATTCAATTCAAACATAATCAATAGCAAAAGTGTCTTCTCATTAATTACAACTAGACAAACAATAATCATGAAAACAGAACATTTCGAAACAGATTCAATAAATTAATCAAGGCTGAATTATAAAGGCTTCACCTAAATCCAAGAAAATTCACTCACTCACCACCAAGAATGGTAAAGTTGATTTAAACTTGAACAATCGAAGAATAGTGGACATTAAAGGAATACACAAGTGACAAAGAAATAGGTGAATAAAGATGAAATAAATAACCAAATAATTAGATCACATTTAAGAGAAAATTAAATTAAAACAAATTTTACGATTTTAATAAAAAAGCAAAACATGTGATTGAATGGAGGGAAATGTAGAGAGCGTAAAGCCAATGAAAATTAAACGAAGATAAGAGCGCTCAATTTGAATTGAAGCAATTAAGTATTAAAATGTTTCCAAAATAAAGTGTTGGGAAACGTTAACCAGCATTAAAAGTGATCAATAAGATATTGATTGAGGAGGGAAATTTATTTACATATCAATGTTAAAAAATGATTATACAGTGTATTGATTGATCAAAGTTGCGGTTGAAAATGTATTTATTGGTGTTTTTTCACCAATAAAATGACAATCAATGATCAAATAAATGTGTCTAATGTTTTGTTTGGATAACAATAGTAAATGATTAGGAGAAAGAATCAAAAGAAAAGGGAAAAAATATTCATATATTAATGATAGAGAATAGAGAGAAAAAAATTGATATTAATATTAATATTAATAGTGATATTAATAGTAATGGTGATAAAAATGCCAAATACATTCAATAATAAAATTAATTTTCTCCTCATTATTTGCCAACTTAGTCTTCTGGTTGAGTTGACATTTTGAAACTTCACACACAAATTGTTGATTGTTGATGTTGTAAGTAAATTATTGTCACCAGTAATAAAAAAGATGAAGTATTATATTTTTGGGGAAAAAAGAAGAGGAAAAATGTAAAGGAAAATGAAAGGATGAAAATTACAAGATGAAGATGGTAAAAGTAAAGGGATGAAGAAGACACTTGCCATTTTCATCTTGCTGTCACCAACATGGCAACCTTCATCCTTAGCATCATCATTGGCATGATCATTTGAAATCTCAAAGTGATGTTCATTGACAAAGATACATTCATCTTTAATGGTTGTGTTGTTGAGCAAATTAATTTAGACTCACTTGGAAGGAATCGGGCAAAAACTGATTGTGATCATTGATGTTGATGAGGATGGAAATGATGATGAGAGAAAAAGAAATGAAAGAAAAGCAAAACAAGGTATCTTCCTAATCATACGCTTCAAGACTTTTCAATACAAAAAAAAGATGTTCATCTTTCACTTGTTTCTCATGCAACAGTAAAAATAGTTCAATACAAGTTAATGATGGATGAGAATGTCTCAATCTTTGCGTTTCTTTCTCACTATTGCCACCATAATATCTTCATCAGTAAACATCATTTGTAGTTAACATTTGATCACGAAATGAACCAACAAATTCATTGGTAATATTGAGATGTTAGACATTTTTTTGGTACATTTTGTTTCTTCAAATTTATCATTATTAGCAACTTGTGAGTAGCAAAATAAATTACATTGCAAACTAAAGTAATATAAATAAAACGCTTTTTTCAATCTTCCATCACCTTTACGTTAAATTTTGATACAAAATTTTGTTTAAACATTGCAACCTTTTCCATAGTTTCACAGTATTCAGACAAATCTATTTTAAATGATTAATTGTTGAGTTTCCTGTTTACAGCCAAATTACAATCAAAATCAATTATTCAATTAGCTTGTCAAATTGGTTAAGAAGCAAATGGATCAATTTGGTGAAAAATGTAAAGTAAAAACAACTTTTCCAACATTTGATGAGCAAAAATGGATCCAAGATGAAGTGAGTTCTGAGTTGGTATCAATGTCTACAGATTTTCCTCTCTTCATCTTAATTCTGAGCATAAACTTTGGCTTCTCTCTGAGTCTCCATCCTCATCATTTCCTATACTGAATCTATAACCATGTGAAGATGAGAATCTACTTTGTTCAAGATTCGTATAATGGATGATATCGAATGAATGGTTCCTGTAATTGGAAACGTTGATAAGAACCTAAAATCACTTGAGATCGAAACAAAATACTTTTAGTTAACTTGAATCAAACAAAATACTTGATTCATTTTCTGCTTGAAAACTTGTCCACACAAAAGTATGAATCAAAAGGTTAGTTTATAGAATCATTTCATTCCAATTTTGGGTTTTAAGTTGAATGAACAATTAAAAGATAACGAAGATTAATGCATTTCAAAATGTGAAGACATTTAGCTGAATAAGACTTATGACAACTTTTGTCGCAAGAGGATTAACAACACTGTGAACAAACCTTTTCTTACCTTTTGTCAACCTTGTCTTGTTAATTGTTAACAAGACGCGCAAAGGACAGAGAAAAATAAATGAAGGGCAAAAAAGGTCAACCTTTTTTCTTAATCATCATGATCATCAAAACTCAACGGGAATCCATCAGGATAGACAATGTTGAAAGAATCAAAACAAAAGGAGAAAGTTGAAAGTCGTTGATTGTTGTCATCAAAAGAAACAAAAGGAGAGGCAAAGAAAAGTTCAATCAAAGTCTCTTTGGTGTGTATGTTTTTGTTGCTGTGTTTTGTTCAAGCTCTTTTGTATCCTTTGACTGACCAGGGACCAACGAGTTAGCAATACTCATTAACAATAACCATCCATTTGACCCTTTGACCAGCCAAAAATAAAAAGATAATCTATTTTTTCCCTCCCAGGATAAAAAAAGCCTAATCGTTCACAGTTAATTTGATTCTGTCTCCACCTTTAGCTTGTCGTTAAAACTCCTTCTTGTTGCCTTTACACATCAATACGCCATTCTCATCTTAACCAGCATTTAAGCACCATAACTTTCACTTTCAACTTGAAAATCAACTATTGAACAGTTAAAGACAAAGGGGAAAATCAGTGATTGACGAAAATCTAAACGTTAATTATTAATCATTTATCAAGCAAAAAGCGCAATGAAATGACGAGGTTACGTATCAAGCAAAAAGCTTTACGAATCCAAGCTTTTCATTCAACTTTTTACATCAATATCAGGTTAATTAATAAAAGTGAAAGTGATACTTTGACAAAGTCAAATTAATGAGGGAAAAAGAGAAGCGAAAAAGCTTATCACTAGCTTCAGTCAATCACTTGATTCTGATGGTGAAAAATGGTCCTATAACAATGTATAATATAACTTGTATAGGATGAAATTGAAAATAACACTTTTCTGTCTTCTCCATGTTTACAGGGATAACATGAGATTTGTGCGCAAAGTTGGGAAAAAAAGTTCAACTATCGATTAGAATCAAGTGATTGAATAAAATGTCTCAAAAGTAGTTATAAACAGTAAATACTTTTGACGAAACATAATCAAAAGCTAGAAACAAACACACAAAAGTATACATTTATACGGCAATGTGTTCAAATGGTTTGCCTTTGAAAAAGAAACCTTTTTTTGTAGCGTTTATGTGTGTGTGTTTGTTTTGCTTGGATTGAGGCGTTGATAAGACAACCTCCCAATAACCTCCCACTTTCACCATTATCAATTTTGTGTTATGTTTCCCTGTTATTATTATCATAATCATTATCATTTAATAGTATTCAATTGATTAGTAACTTGTTAGTTTTTGAATTTCATTGTTTACCTTTTTCTAGCTGTAACATTTGCATGTTTCTGTATTTAAACTTTCAGAATCAAATACAATAGGTCGTAATGATTATTATAATTATAAAGTTCAACTGTTGATTTTAGATAAATTGATGAACTTTGATGGTTAACAGAAAATTGTTCATTTGTAAATCTAAAGATTTATACTGAAAAAAGTATAAAACTTGGACTAGTTTACATTGATAATGATGAAATGGTGTGTTTGGCTTTTCACTTTTCCCTTTGCGTTGCCTTTGTGTGTGTGTGTGTGTGTAGGTGATTAACGTCACACTGTGAGTTGGGATTAAGCGTAAGGATTTTGTTAAGATGTTGTTTCTTCTGTTATTAGTCTTGTTTGAAGAGGAACCATCCAAAAGAAACGGAAAGTCGTAGACGTGATTAGGACCATTTTTTACTCTCCTTTAGGACGCTGTTCCTTTCTTTTCTTCTCTTTAGTTTGGCTTTAGTTCAATTTATCAATATATCATTATTGTCTCTGTGCAAGGAAAGGAAAAAAAGAGCAAAAGCTTGAAGAATTACTTTACAGGTATGAATAATTTCTTGAAGAAAAATAATAGATGAACAATGAATGAGAGTTGCTTACTTGTTGGCCCTTTAACTTTGGGTAAAAATGAACAAGAATTGATCTTTTCTTGTTACAACTTTCTTTATGGTTTTAGCCTTTTTTCAACTTTTCCCTTCTGTTTTCCAGTCTTACTGTCCACTACGATAGCCATTCATATTAATAGTGGAACCAATTAAAAAAACTGAAAGTAAGAGAAGAAAAATGTGATGTTAATAATGAGGATAAGAATGATTATGATGATGATGATGAAGGACGGCCTGAAAAAGGAGTTTACCGAACGAATTAATGTTTAACCAACACTTTTACATTGATTATTATTTACCTATGAGAAGAGTTAAATGTAAATCTTTACATAGGAGTGACATGATTGATACAAAAACACAAGAAGGTAAAAGTGTCTTATACCAGTTTTAACCCTACATGGGGTAACAAAAGTTTGTCAAGAAAACGACCCTTTTTCACTACACAGTTGTTTATTACCTTTATCATCTTTTCTTGTCCTCCAACAACAGGTAAAATCTTCTTTTATCATTATCCAAATCTTGTTCATTTCTTCACAGTCTGTCACCTTTAAGTTGCTTTTCATTCATCCTTCCATCAGCGAGCAATTTTTCTGTTTATGCCGTTGTTGCCCAAATGATACCAGCAATAATGATCAACATATGCATCTCCATTTAATCAGCTTTTCCTTTGATGGCCAATAAATGATGGTAAAAAGTTGCTTTACACAATCCAAATGAGATTAATTCATCTCATTTCTGATAGTTCACCTCTTGTAATATTTTGTGATTTATAACTTTGTGACTACCTAATAATTCATGACCTTAGGTTAGTTGATGCCGCAAGGTTTGAATCAATTATTACAAGAGGTTTTTCAAATAAAACCCATTACATTGCGGGTAAAATCGAGAGAGAAATAATCTCAATTCTCAAAAGAGGAAATTATTCTCAATCAAAATTGCAAGTTAATGGCAATTCATTAGTGACCATTAGGATTTTTCCCTTTGTGTACATAAATCCTTTCAATCATTCATCTCTATCCTCATTATGTCCGCTTTTTCATCTTGAACTTTTCCTCTGCATCTTTCAGAAATCATAGTTTGATCCTTTCCTCCAATTGCTCTTTATTTACTTGACTCGCCATTAAATCCAACTTTTTTCACTGTTATCATCATTTGTCTTGTACGTCTTTTGTCAACAATCAACCATCAAGTGCTTGTTGACTATAACTTGATTTTTCATTGAAATCATTTCCAACATAAAAGCTTTAAGTTGACACTTGAACAAATTGTTTGTTAAACCATTTAACATTTATTGACACCAGCAAAAAATGATACCATTGATGTAATTCAATTATGATATTCCCAGAAAAATTAAGGCGATGATATAATATTTATATAATATTAATAGGGCTTGTAAGTGTGCTTGTCCACAACTCTCAATGGGCTTCAAAGTCCTCTGGTTGAGAAACTGAATATAAGAAAACGGGGAAAAAATTGATTTACATAAATTTTTCACGCTAATAAGAATGGTAATAGAACTATACGATTAAATCAACAACTCAACAAACCAAGTCATTCACAGTAAATGTACAAAGTTACTTACATTAAATTGTAAATTGATATCACGCCAAATCAAATAACAATGAGTGAAGGATAAAGAAAAAATCAAGCCAAAATAGAGGTTAGACAGTTTGATTTGATATGGTATTTCATATTAACATGATAAATTGTGGAAGCTTTGAGAAAAAAAGAGAAAAAGATTAAGAAATCAAACAAATTCAATTTCATGGTTAATTGTGGCATTATTTAGGGTAAATGAGTTATGTACAATGAAATGAAGGCCATTAGATGGTCAACTACAACTGGACAATACAGTGAAAACTGACAAAAACATTACTCAATGACAAAATGAAAAAATAATTGAACTCAAGAAGCAGTAAAAAAATCGTTGAAATAGGTAAAGCCTATTTGCACAAGAAAAATATCTAGTCTTTAGGATCTTAGTAAAGAGTAGGATCAGTAAAGAGTCGAGCGCGTTTTTTATTTCACAACTTTACACATGGAATTTTAAATCGTACTCTCACAATTGTGTGTTGATTAAAAGCAGAATAAAATAACACTGAATCTCGACCACTTACAATTAACAATCAACAAAATTTTAATAAAAATTTCTGAATCTAAATTAAGTTATAAAAGTAATCACCGGGATTTGAACCCAAAATCTCAAGAAATATCACCTAACCTTTAACCTACTAGGCTAAGCCTGACTTATTATTTTTTTTTGTAAAATGATGTCTAATAAAAAAACATTCCGCAACATTAGTTCCCTTATGAGATGGCGTTAGAGGTGCACTTTGTGTATTTAGTCTGGGTGCCTATTTACACACGATTCTTGTGCAAATAGGCTCTACCGTTGAAATACAATTTGAAAAAACAAAAACAAAAAGATAAGAGCGCCATCTCTTATGCAATTTTGCATTGAGAAAAAAAGCTATTTTCAAGGCAGAAAAAATAACCAAATGGCTAATGAAAGAAATTATTTCATTCTTAAATTGTTTAATGTGTTTTGTTTGTGATTAAGTGAACCAAAGGCTCAAAAGGAGATGACAATTTAAAACAACCTTTGACATTTAAGTTAAACATGTTTATATAGGTCATTTTTTTCTCTTTGGTCAAGTTTTGTGA